CAGTCACCCCATCAAGAAGACAGTTCAAGTGGCATGGTCTCTCAGGAGTCTGCTCAGAGTGTCCTTTTCAGGCACTGAGGGCCAAGCTTCTGGATATTTGAAGGATGGGTTTACAAAGACAACGGACGTCTTCTAATAATGGGTTTCTAGAAGCAACCTGGACAAAATATTGTCTCTTCCTTGAATGTAATGTGCTTTTTTCTTCCTACAGAAAAAGCGCACTTTGAAGGGCTCCATTGAACTGTCCCGAATCAAATGTGTCGAGATTGTGAAAAGTGACATTATCATCCCATGCCACTATAAATATCCATTTCAGGTAAGTCCATCAGAGCAAGGGACGAGTTCCCCATTTCTTGGATGACGGGTGAAATGCTCAGTCATTGTATGGGAAGGTGGGATGCAGATGACTCTGGTCTAGGGTTAGAACTTAGACAAACCCCAGGAGAAATCTTGCCGTGTTCTTTCAATGACACGTATTCACTCAACAGAGATTAATCACAAAATGTTGAAAACATTGTCATCCCTCATTGCCCTTTCCCTCATGTCTTCCTACCTCAAGAAAAGTCCTAATTATTCTGTTCTTGAAGGGGGGGAAAAGACTATCAAGGGTCCCAAGCCTAACATTCCTTAAGTGCCATTTACTCATGATTTGGGACAACGGATTGCAATGCTTGGTTATAAATTGCTTGGAGGTTCTGGAGTAAAGGACTCAGATTTTATAATCTGAGAACTACCTGGAGTTGTGCTATCCAAAACAATAGCTACTAGCCACATATGGCTGTTTAAATTTAAATGTAATTTAACTTAAGCAATATTAATTAACTCCTGAGTCTCACTAAACCACACTGAATGAATAAACATCCCATACCTTCAAGAGCCACCTATGGCTAGTGGCTACCTTACTGGACAACATAAATTTTAGAACATTTCCATCCCTGCAGAAAGTTCTACTGGCGGAAAATATCTTTAGTCTTTAGGTCATGGTGTCATCTATATCTTGTTACCACTCTTGACATTTATGGTTCTGAAGGAGAGGAAGGAGTGAATACTTTCTTGCACATCCTAGGATACCATTCTGGTTTGGCAATATAAGAGGAGTAAATATTCGATTTTTCAATGTGGCATAGAAAAGGACTTTTTTTCCTACCAGAAAGGTGACCTCCAAGAGATGGAATTTTTACTTCTGAACCTAAAAGGAGTAACATGTATTTCCCATCATTAAAATTCCAATTAAAAATGAGTACAGGAAGGAGAAAAACTGGTGAAACCCAAAGATCTGTAGTTTAGTTAATCACATTGGACGAATGTCAATTTCCTGCTTTTGGAAATGTACTGCGGTTATATAAGACATGATCACTGGGAAAATGTGGGAACTCTGTACTATCTTTGGAACATCTTGGGTGCCTTACATTATTTCAACATAAGAAATTTTTAAAATCTCAATTATACATCATATCATACATACTCTTGTATATGCCAGAATTTTTTTTAATCACTGAAAAATTAATGTGAGAAATAAATACTGTCTAGGTAGGTGGAGAGCCTGTTTCCCCAGCTATTTTAATTTAGTGATAGCCTAACAGCGACATAATCTGGACTGTGGAGTTTCACCCTGTATCTGTTCAGCATCCACACATCTGGATAACAAGGACACTAGTCCCCGAATCACCCAGATGTTTGCCTTTTTGCCAGCAACCTCAGTCTCAGCCCAATAAGCCAGGCGGGTCTGCTGTCAGTCATCCATCTCCGGGCGCGCTGCTCACCTTGAACTCTGTGTGTCTCCAGGTCGTGCACGACAACTACCTCCTGTATGTTTTTGCTCCAGACCGTGAGAGCCGGCAGCGCTGGGTGCTGGCCCTGAAAGAAGGTAATGCATATCCTGGCCGATTGAGTCCCTGAGACCCCTTGGTCCCCTGGGAGGCTTGGGTCCCACAGTAGGATAAAGAGCAGCTGATAGTCCAACATTTCTCCTCTTGGGTGTTGGTGGAGGGTCCCCCAAGTTTCCATGCTGGGCCCAGGACTCAACAACCAGTGCAGTACAGGGTCAGCCACATCCTGCCTGCCTCTTGTTTTTGTAAGGCTCTGAGATGGGGATGTTTCTAAATTTTTTTTTAATGGTTCTATGTTAAAGGGCTATGTAACTACCTCCATAGCATGCCAATTGTGCCTGCTGGTGATTAAAACCTAAAATATTTACTATCTGGCCCTTTAAGTAAAAGCCTGCCGACTCCTGATATCGTATGAAGATTAAGACCGAGGGCCCAGGCTTAGACCACCTGGGATTGAATCCTGACCCGGCCACTCACTAGCCACGTGTGCCTGGGCGACTTCCTTAACTGTTCTGTGCTTCGGTTTCCCCGTCTATTTCCAACAAAGGGCGGAGGAGAGAAGAGTAATTAATAATAATAGTACCTGCCTCCGGGTGTTACACTTAGTAAAACAAGTCAGACAGAGAAAAACAAATGCTGTTTGTTTTCACTTACATGTGGAATCTCAAAAATAAAGCAAATGAACAACTATAACAAAACAGAAACAGACTCACATACACAGAGAACAAGCTACATACAAGACGAGAGAGGGGGAGGAAGGGGGAGGGAGGGGGAGGGGCAAAATAGATGAAGGGAATTAAGTACGAACTACCAGTTATAAAATAAATGAGTCACAGCGAGGCAGTGTACAGCCCAGGGGATATAGTCACCATTTTATAATAACTTCGTGTGGTATGTAATCTATAAAAGTACTGAATCACTAGGTTGTGCACCTGAAACTAATATAATATTGTAAGTCAACTATACTTTAATAAATATTTTTTTTAAAAAAGCACCTGTGTCCAGAGCTTCTAAGAGTAAGGCCTTGGAACTAGCCAGGTCTATAGTCAATATCCAATAAATGTCAAGTAGCTTTAAATATTTTCAGATCATTGTGAGAGTACTCCTTAGGGCTCACCTTCCTGGCGGCATAATCAGCACCAGCACAGTGTTTACAGATGGAAAATGTAGAGCCAGGCTGCTAGGGAGAAAATTCCAACTCTGCCAATTATTAATGTATGACCTTGGGCAAATTCCTTGACTAATTTCAGTGTCCCCATTTCCTCAGCTATAAATTCTTCCTAGTAACAGGCAGTCATTGGATTACTGTGAGCAATGAAAGAGTTGGGATGCCTCCAACACTTGGTACCATACCCAAAGAAAGCAGTCAGTCCATATGACTATTACTGCCAGTTAGCCTGAAGCCCTGGATTTGTAGGAGAGCTGAGTTCAAACATTAATCTGTCTCTAAGCAGCTGTGGGGACTGAGGGTAAGCAAGCCATTTGAAACCTCAGGAACCACGATGCCTCTATCTGAAAAACGAGAATCAATATACAAGCCTTATCTTCTTCCAAGGTTGTTGTGAGTTTCAAATGTGATATGAACAGGCAAGTGCCAGGTCAACTCCAGTTTCCAGTATAACAGTCATGGGCACAAAACAAACACTCAGGTCATCAAAAGGACTCCAGCTATGCCCATTGGTGGTTTTACTCACGGATGTTAAAGGAGGAAGGAGCATTAGAAATAATCTGTCTAGTTCTCCATTTTTTATGCTTTTTTTTCAATCAGGAAAGCCTCTTTTTTTTTTTCCTGTACCAAAATCTGGCTTTAAAGCCACAAATCTAGAAGGGATACAAGCCAAGTTGCTACTGTTTAATGTGGGAGAGATGGAGGAGTGGGAATCCTACCTACTCTGTCTTCCTGTTACCTCTGAGTCACTTTTGTGGGTCCCATGGATCCATGCTAACAACCTCATTACACAGTAGGAGCTGAGGCTCAGCTAAGGGTCTTGCCCAACCTAAGGACACACAGCTAACACAAGGCAGAGCCAGACAAGAACCCAGATCTGCTGATGTCTGAACACAGCATACACTCCTCCATAAACGTGTATGGGGGAAAAGCCATTTTTCTGACTCGTTCGGGTTCTATTTCACTCAAGTTCACACAGCAGGGTCCAATCTCAAGGAATTATAAAGCTGGTGGCCCTTGACAGACTGACCTGGAAATAACTCTTCTGCTGGTGCCAACCCCTTTCAGAAACGAGGAATAACAACAGTTTGGTGCCCAAGTATCATCCTAATTTCTGGTTGGACGGGAGATGGAGGTGCTGTGGTCAGGTGGAGAAGCTTGCAGTGGGCTGTGCCCAGTACGATCCAACCAAGAATGGTAAGAGACTATGAATTCCCTTTCTTTGTAAAATGACTGACCTCCCCACGAGTAAGAAGTAAAAGCTCTTTGCTTCCCACCATCGGGGGTGTCAGGGATTGAGGGCAGAATTGCACATTCTCAGAATTTTCAGAAAGGAATCAACCACCTGCATCACCAGTCTGTTGATGTTTTTTCATCTCACAGCTGATGTGTTTATAACTCCTTGCTACTTAGCATGTGGTTCTTGGACCAGCGGCACCAACATCACCTGTAAGCTAGTTAGAACCACAAATTCTAGGCCCCCTCCTAGCTCTGCTGGGGCAGAATTTGTACTTTAACAAGATCCCCTGGAGATGTGTGTGCACAGTAAAGTTGGTGAAGCACTGCTATCCCTTCAAGTTAGGAAATTTGAATGGCACGGTCTACTTAGATCTGAAGTTGCAGAGACAGCCTTAGAGAGCTATAATACTGTTTATCACGGTGGCGTCACATCACGCATGTGTTTAATTGCACAACTTCAACTCTAGACACCCAAAAGGGGAAGAAAGCAAAACCCAAAAAAGCTGCTATTTTACCCTGTGGCTTCTCCCTGCCTCCACTTCAAGCTTGCCCTTCACCTCCACAGTCTTAGAGAAAAAGAGGGCACAGCTTCAATGCAAACTGAAAACAGAAGACATTGGTGTTTTTGGTCTTTAAGGTCAAAGACCCAGGTTCTAAGGAATGGACTGTGACTGGATTTTACCTTATGTGATGACTTTGGGACCCAAACCCCCAAAGAAGGGCAACTCCACTCTGATGCGCTTTTTCGTGCGTCATGCCCCCATTCCTCACAACCGCCTGGGGTAGATGGTGTGATGTTAAAGAAAGAAGGCTGAGCAGTTCAGTAAGTTCAAGGTCACACAGCGAGGAAGAGCTCTCAAAACCATGGCTGAGTAGGAATGAAGGATCATGTGAACTGTTTGCTCCCACCGCCCTCTCCTCTCAACCTCTCTTACCCTACTTAGCTTTTCTCTTCTGTCGGTTTCTTTTTGGCACTAGCCCCTCAGATTGACAGCCCAAGGTGGATGTGCTAAATGTAACACGTGGCTGGGTTTTCTGTGGCTTCCTGAGTTGCAGCCCCTGCTACTGCCACTTTAACAACCACCACTTCTCGCCCTCCACCTTGGGAGAGAAAGCTCAAGGTTACCAGCCCCTTGACCCAGAAGAATATTTACCTAGTTTAGAAGACAGTGATTCTCTGCATTAGCCCTGTGGTCCATACTCAGGAAGGCTGGTATCTAATGAAAAAAAAAAGGAAGGTTTTATGCGGGTGGGCTCCACCCCAAGTACAGGATGACATGGGCTTGCCTCTGTGACTGAAAGCCCTTTCCAAAGCCAGAGATCTCGTCTCCAAATTCCTGCCAGCGCCTTGCTGTAGGCCCTTGGATGAGTTGTACGGCCATCAAGGACCCCAATGCCGTCATCTCTGAAATGGAGAGGGAAATTTTAGGGGCCCTAAGATGAAATACTCTCTAAGTCTCCTTCCAATTTTGCAACTCTTTGAATCTATGTTTCCGTTTTGCAGTTTTCACCAAGCATTTAGCAGCTGTTGCTCTCCGGGGTGCGCTGTATTTCCCCCCACTGAGTGTGGACACATGATTGAGGTGCGAGAACGTCTGAATGACTCACGAGGGCAGGGCTGTGCAAGCTAAGCTCCCCGCCACGTGGAGCCAGGGTCTAGCCACTGTCTGGCCACTCTGCTGAAGGTCTTGCTTTTGTGTTGCAACCTACTGTCATCTCCTCATCTGAGCATGTCCTCATTGTACCTTCCTCTGACTTGGTTGAAGTAACCTCATGCACCAAAGTTTCGACTGAATCGAGAGCAGAGTTTTCAAGAAGCACACTGCACTGTGCACACTGCACATGACTGTCTGCTCTGGGCGAAGGCTTGTAGGATTCCCGGTGTTGGGCATGTGTTGGGCTGGGCCTAAGAGCATGGGGCTTCGGGATGAAAAACACCTGCTGTGAGTCCCAGCCCCTTCACTTCCTTGGTCTGTGACTTCATTTATGTCACTTACCCTTTCTGAGTCCCTGTGCCACTGTCCTCATCTGTAAAATAAGGATGATGGTAATAATTAGCTACTTTGAGGGGCTGTCGGGAGACTCAGTGGGGTTGTGGAAAGCTCTCAGCACAGCTGCTGGCACTCAGTGAGCTCTCAATAAATGGTCATGGTGTCTACTAGTCTGTATTTGGGGACAGAAGAATCTGAAGCTGAGATAGCTTGTGTGTATATGACCGGGAAGTGGCAGAGGTGGTTGAGTAAACATGGGCTCTGCTAAACTCTATGCACAGCAACACCCATTTCTGCAACCAGAACTGGCCCTGGTCTCACCACACACAGACTTCCCACGGAGGGAGGGGAAGAAAGGCAAGAGCAATGCCAAAGGAAGAAGAGAGACCAGGCCCAGCAGGTTCAGGGCTGGGAGGGGCCCACAGCCACAGAGCTTGTACGTGGTGGAGCTGGGGTTAGGACTCCAGTCTCCCAGCTCAAAGTTGAGCGCTTGAGGGGAACCATGTTTCCTATCATGTCTGTTTCCCTCTTCTCTGTTAATTGCATACCCAGTACCCCAGCCTGCCCTTGCCTAAGGAGTTAGCACAAGGCCTGGACTCCAGTGTCAATGTATGAGTCTCCACTTACTACATCCCAACATGGGCTGCCCGGCTCCAATCAGCCTCCCGCAGAGGGGAGGGGCTCACTGCCTACTGACGCAGCCATTCCCTCCTTACCTCTAATTGTTAAAGAAGCCTGTGAGCCGAACGGGAGCCAAAGCACTGCCTCCCCTGCCACACATCCTCCCAGACACACAGACCCACAGCCTCTGTCCCTGGATTATGGACTTGAACTTTTTAATGTCTCAGAGGAGAAATACTAAGAGACACAAACAAAGAGATGAAAGGAAAGAGTGGGGGCAGGGGAAGGGAGAGAGAAAAGAGAAGAGAAAGGAGGAAAGAAAAAGAGACAGAGGAGAGAAAGGGAGGGGGACATGGAGACACAAAGAGAGGAACAGAGAGAAAGAGGTGTTGGGGTGTTGTCTGGGGGAGCCAGCAAGAACGGATGCTCGGAGGCCTCAAGATGACTGAAAGTGGATTTCAGACCTCTCAAGGGGCAGCCCGGCAACCTCTCATCTTATCCCCCGCTCCTCAAGCCCACAAGGGCATCAGGAAGCCAGTGAGTCATGGTCCCCCTGAGTCACCAATTCCAAGTCCTGGTTTAGCAGGTGGAGGTGCCTTCGTGGGCGGCTCTGTGCCCACTGGGAAGGACACACCCCAAGGCCCACTGTCAGCCCCTCTGGACTGGGCTTTTCCTGGGAATACAGGAGGAGGGGCCCGGGATATTGGCTTCTGGAAGTTTCTCGTGTCTCCTAGAAAACAAAATTGGGAACCCCCAGGCTGAAAGAGATCAGACACAGGTGCTGGGCCTCACCTTCTCCTGCTGCTGTTCTCTTTGAGGCCCCTTTTCTTTGAAAAGCCCCCGGCTGCTCACCTCCAGTCGGGCACATTCAGTTTCAGGCTTATTTCTCTGTTTTTCTCGTTTCAGCTTCAAAGAAGCCTCTTCCTCCTACTCCTGAAGACAACAGGGTGAGTGAGCGCTCAGGGGCCGGGCGCGGGTGGCCCATGGCGCCGCAGGCCAGCTGCTCTCCCAGGCGTGCTCCTGCCCGCGTTTCTCAAATACGGGGCAAATACAGCTGACTGCCATGGCGCATCTGAACTCCACACTGGGGGTTTCTTGGGCCTGAACTGTCTCACGGATCTGTCCACAGAAGAAGATGAGTCAGGTGCCAAATCCCACCTCTTGCCATCTTGTCTTCACTCAGCAAACACTTATGGGTACCCAACTGTGTGTCCAGCCCCCTGACCAGGTTGGGGCACATGACAGCTCACAGCTATATAACCCTTTGACATACCAGCATTTGGGAAGCATACATTTGAGAATACTTTATATTCTTCAAAGGATGTCTACACTTTTACTAGCTATATAGAAACTCACCGTCTGTTCTAGCTGCTTCCGAGGGTCATAGTTTTATTCTCATGTGAAAGCTTGGGAAAGGAAGTCCCATGAGAGGTTTGCAGGATTTCCCAAGGCCATTCAGCAATTCAGTAGTCACGCTAGACGGCTGCAGAATTTCTTGTGTGGTAGTCTTTAACTTGAGGGATGGGTCTCAAAGTGTGGTCCACGGATCAATGGCATCAGCATCACCTGGCAGCTCGTTAGACATGCAGAGTCTCAGGCCCAGTTAGCTGGGCCTGTAATGAGATGAATACCGTGCCATTTCCCTCCTATCTTCCTTTGAACTCAGTCTTTGAACTCAGCTCTTTCCTCCATTAGCCCTTCAGGTGAAAACCTCAGGCTCATAGACTCCTATCTGTAGTACCCAATACACCACCACATAAGCGCCACAAATACCTAGACTTCAAATTCCAACCTGGGCTCAGCTGGGATGACATACTGTATCAGTATGACTACCCGTTTTTTTAATCTCCGGTATTTTTATGCCACCAAGTGCTTCAGTGTATTCAGAGAACTTTGGATTTCCCAGCACCAAGTCCCATTCTAGCCAGTAATGTCAATCTCTTCCCATATTTCCTCTCCCACAAAACCTCTAGCAGGTGTGCCCATCCTGAACCCTCGTGGTTGTTTGCTTTACTGTCTCTTTGTCACATCTTCAGTATCTCATCCTAAGGAAGGTACTCAAAACTACAGACACAGGCAAAAGAGCCCACAAGAGGAACAGGGACCCCACACGACACAGGAGAGAAAGCCTGAGATTAATACAGTTGCTAAACTTGGCCACATCCATTTCCTCATCTGGTTCTCAGTTTCCCCATTCTAAACAAAAGAGTGGATTGATATCTCAGAGGCATCCCAGGTCTAATAGTCTATGATTCTATGGACCTGGGCAAACCCACAAATAAAATCGGACAAGCATGGACTGAATGATTTAGTGTTGACTATGTCACTTTAGCCAAGAATGTGATGCTTCTGGCAGACAGGTGATGAATTGTGGCATGGTTTGAGTAGAGAAGCCAGCAGACTTTTGTGAAAAGAATGGCTGCTTGGAATTCACCGTAGTCAGAATTGACCACATAGAATGGGTGAGGTGATGAATTCCAGGTACTGAATGTCTTTGCATCAAACAGAGCACCATAATCCGAGCTTCTAAAGAAAGCCAACTAGAGGAAGGCACGTGGTCTCAGCAAATTTCCCCAGTGGATTGTAGGAACTGGTGCCTGGTCTGGCATGGATCCAAGAGCAAATTACAGCTCAGGGACTCGCTGACCCTGTTCCACAGTTTACCTCCTTTCTATGTCTTCGATTTTGTTGTTTCCCACCCCCAGCGATCACTTCGGGAACCTGAAGAAACCGTGGTCATTGCCTTGTACGACTATGAAACGAACGATCCCCAGGAACTCACGCTGCAGCGCGACGAGGAGTACTACCTGCTGGACAGCTCCGAGATTCACTGGTGGAGAGTTCAGGACAGGAACGGGTAAGGCAGCCTCTGCTTGCTGTCCCAGCTTTTGAGTTGAGATGGGGACAAAGGAAATGCCGAGATGATTTCCCTACTTATCTCCGCATGATGACGGCACTGAGTTAGGAGAGGAGGGCAGAGGCAGAAGGAAGAGGAAGGAAGAAGTGGTGGAAATGGGTCTTTCCACTTCTCAGAAGTGGCTGGGAGGCAGTCACTTGCTCTGCTAGCTCACTGCACTCCATCAAGCTCTCCCAGCCCCCAAACTCATCTAAAAATCTCCTGGGGTTGTTCCACTGACGTCCAGTTTGGGAGAATGGCAACCTGTTCCACAAAGCACTATTGTTCTCAAGTGCTTAAGTGAAGTTGGAGATACAACCCATTATGAGGGTCTTATTTTTGGTGGAAAGAAAAGACATGTTTAGAGGGTGCAGATTGGTGGTTACATCAAGAAGTATCAGGATAAAAGACTAAAGATTTAGTTTAACCAACAATCTTTGAACTAGCCATCCAAATGATTCATGGAGAAAATAAAGTTGTGCAAATTCCGATTGCCCACTCTGGGACTTTTGAATGAAAAAAATCTTATGACCCCTCCTCCAATTTGAAATACAGCAAAGTTACTGTCATAGGCCTTCAGAATGTAGTGGGATATATGTGACTTAGACGCTAGTGCTTAATTTAAAAGTGTCAGATTCACATTGCTTTATAAGGCTTTATTTTTTCCTTTAAATATCGGAGGTCTTTACCTGTGCCCTGGAACAGTCTCCAGAATCATCTCCAGAAGGTGATTTCAGTGATTACACAAATCTAAAATAAAAATATACCATAATTTAGCAAATTCCCTTCTTGGGCTCGTAGGTTGCAAATATTCACAACACTGCATCCTTATAAATTAGTCTTTAAGGTTTAAACACATTAAAAGTATGAGGTTATTATTAATTTAAAATATAAAAAAATACTCCATCATCACAACATGGATAGCCTATGTCAATGTTTTATTTAAAAAAAAAACCTAACAGTAGAGAGAAATATGCTTAAAAACAAACCACCCTCCACTTACCCACACATCAATCCTAAAAGTATTCACTATTAACTTACTTGTGCGTCCTAGGCAAAAAAGTTATACATCTACAAATGCATCCTTTTTTATTTGCACTAAGGATTTCACCTTGCTTTTAACCTTTAATAATCTAAGAGATCTTTTCATATTAACACATACAAGTCTGTTATTTTAAAAAATGATTGTATAGTTTTGAAACGTATGCTTGTATTATAAATATTTAAATAAGATTTTATGATGGGACATTTAGTTTCCAGGTTGTTTTATTTGTTATTTCAAACAAGGCTGCAGTGAAGATCTTCTGTTGCTCATGCTCATGTATCTTCGCAATCTTTTGAAATACATATATATTTTTTGAAAAATATACTCTTGAAAATAATTATTTTCCTCAGGAAAAAAAATACATATCTCATATTGCTCACTATGGAACTGGTGAGTCAGACTATGTGACATCTTAATTTTGAAAGATAAATCCCTCAAAAAGTTTGCCAAATTTTACATTCCTACCAACAGGATATGGGAGTGCCAATACTGGGTATCATTAAACTTAAAAAAAAAAAGCCAATCTGATGGGTAAAAAAAGAGGTGCACAAATATGTTGGGGTTAAGGCTTTACTTTTTGCATACACCAAAGCTTACATTTTCAAGGCACCTTCTCTTTAACCATCACCTCCACTGCAGGGGAAGTGAGGCAGGGGTGTAAAGTAAGATTAGATCAAGAACTGTGGTCTTGGGGGCGGTGCTGCTTGCTAGCTGAGGACAGACCCCAGGGCCCCTCACCTGGAACCTCTCTCTCTAGTCGGCTCGTGAGAGTGAACGAGGCCAGCCACGTCCCCTTCTCTCTGCCTGTTTTGAGGAGGCCCATATCCGGAACAGGTTCAAGACTCTACAGACACCAGAGGAACATACTCGGAAATTCATCCCTTCAATCAACTGACATTTACGGAGCACAACAAATGTGCCAGGAAATGTCTTCTCCTGGGTCTCACTTCCCCAAATGACAGTTTACCCTTTGTTCAGTGGCCCATGGAAAGGCTCAACTCTGCACTTCAAAGGACATCGAAGAGGACACCCCAGAGGCCAATGGGTGTATGGGAATTTCCCCAGTTTGCTTTGTAATAGTGCGGTCTGGGGGAAAGTACACGAGAAGGGGAGACTTGGACTTGAGTGTCAGCTGCTCTTGTTGTGCAGGACTTAACCTCTGTGAATCCATTTCCTTCTCTGTAAAACACAGATGAGAATATCCAATTGATATCTCAGAGTGCTGAGAAAATCAGTGAGATGAAGAAAGTGAAAGGGCTTTGTAAATTCTGTATCTGCACACAAGTGAAGAGAATGATCATCATTTTGTAGGTAACCCAGCTTTGGTTGGCATATTAAAACACAGTCATTCTATAGGAAAGCAAACATAGTATTTGACCTATTAATATAATTGTAAAACTATGATGTGGCAAAACCAGCCATAATTAAAAGTAATTCCAAAAGAAAGACATAAAAGAAATAGCAAATTTCAGAACAAGTTGATCCCCACCAGTTGGCACTGACTGCCTTGAGCACTGGGTTAAGAATGATTCTGAGGATGGGTATTCAGTTCTCCAAAGACAGCATGCCATGACTGACTAGCAGCTTCAGCCATGACAAGATATGAGATCTCCCATTTTGGTATCACCAAAAACCTCAAAACAATTCTGTGAAATAGATTACACATTCCCCATTAAACATAATCACTAGATTGAAAAATGACCTTATACAAAAAATTAAGACACTTGATAAAGAGCAAGAACTTATCAGACGTTGTTTTGTAGATTGGCAGAGTCTGGAGGAGTCTGATGTGTGATCTATTTGAGGTCCCCTCATTTTACAGGTACAGAGTTAGAAGCCTTGAGAGTGGAGGGAAAGCCATTCTCACCTTGTAGTGTTAAATAGGGTGATGAATGTGACAATGCTTTCAAAAGGACAAAGCTACACACAAGTGTAAATTATTTCGATTTTCTTATTGGTTTCTTGATCCATATGTTTTTGTTTATGCACAATTATTTATTCCTGCTCAAAAGAAAGTCCCAACCCCAATTCCAGCATAATTTTATCCTTTTTTCCTCATGTTTCACCATTTATTTTAAGGAGCTCAATTAACAACAAATATTAGGGAGGCCTTAAGTTAAAAGCTTACAAGGTCGACTGGCAGTATCTTTTGGGACCTGTGGTTGGAAAGTAATTTTTTATATTTTAATTATTTTGGTTTCCTGACTATAAAATGCTAACACTAAAGTGGAAAAAAATGCTGATTATCACACACACACACACACACACACAAATGTTTCCTAATAGAAGACAGAGACTGAATATTAATCTTTTTTCCAGTAGAGGAAATTTCACAATGAGGAGATTAGCAAGCAGTTTTTAAAGTAAAGTAGCTACTTATTTAATATGGTTCATATTTTAGTGGTAAAATCTATAGCCTTTAACTTGAGGTTGTTATATTTTGCAATTCTCTTCTTCAAAAAATTTAAAATGTCTCCTGAATGCCAAATAACATGAGGCTTCCTCATCTTTAAAAGACTTTTAGTTGATTAAACCTATAAAATGGAGCTGTGAAAATTAATTCTATAACACTAATTAGTCTAAACACGAATTTCTCTTGTAACAGGCATGAAGGATACGTGCCAAGCAGTTACCTGGTGGAAAAGTCTCCAAATAACCTGGAAACCTACGAGTAAGATGTTTTGTTTGCTTTCCAAACACATGGTGCTAAGGTTAGGAGTGAATTATTGGTTGATTATTAAAGTACCAGGCATTTTCTCTTCTTGACCTGCATACTTTGATCTCTAAATAAACAACTGAAAGTCACTTTAAATGGGAGAAGAGGAAGGTATACACACCCACCTCCCCTCTCATCTAAGGGATACTTCTCAGATGCCTGCACATATTGTAGTAAAAAGAAAAGCTTCTTCCAGGAATCCTGGGAATATTGATCTTAACTGAGAAGGGAAAAACACTATGAACATTGGATCAAATGCAAATTGATTTAAAACATGGTTTAGTGCAATACATCCAATACCAAGAGACAGGACAAACAAATGAGTATTAAATATGTGCTTACCTTGTGTTATTTCAAGCTGTCATTTAAAAGAAGAGTTCCCATGGATATAATTTTAATGGAATGACTTAACGTTTAATAAAATCCAACTGTGGAGGGCAATGTACTCACCACGTACATTTATTTCCTAGTTCGGTTGCTGGAAAGCCCAGAAACAATCACACCACAGCAGCGATGTGCACACCCAGATCCTGGTTTCTAAATAATACTTCCCACTAAAGAGAACCAGGACTTCTTAGGGAAATGGCTTGGAGATTCAGAATCAGGGCAGGGAAAGAACAAAGATGAACTTGGAACACTTTATTGCACCAAAAAGTAAAGAGGTACACCTCAACCTTTTTTTGTGAAATAATGTAGACATATCAGATGAGTACAAAAGTCAGCTTTAAAATGCTCCTTCTGACCAAATCTGGGACAATTTGAGTGTCAAAATAAATAATGACAGTAATGGACTACAATCCATTAAACAAAATAAGAACCCATAATAATAGATGGCTTGATAAATAATTCAGTAAATACATATGCAAGAGAAAAAAAGCTCTTTCTTATAGTAAAATGCCAACTAATGAATGTAGAAGGAATGGTAAAGTTTTAAAATCACCATTTTATAAGTCAACGTACCAACTGATTCAGGTAAGAATCACCAGTGAATGTCGCAAGTAGAGGGTGAAAGTTGATATTTACATAGTGTCAAGTCACTGATTAATAATAACAAAGAGGAAATACCTGGTGACCCCATCTTAAGCAAGCGATCCCAGTTCACATTAATAACGGGGCAAGCAGACACCGTGCACCTCCTGACGTGTCGTACTGAGAAGGACACAGCATCACTTCTGTGATGCTCCCGCCCAAACACACACAACCTGAATCAGTCATGAGGAACTAGACAAATCCAAACCGATGTGATGGTGAGAGCATGGACTCTGGAGCCAGACTGCCTGGGTTCACATTCTGCCTACTTTTGACTAGTTCAGTGACCTTGGGCAAGTTTCATAACCTGCTTATAACACTTTCTGACATGTGATAGGTGAGCCGCCCATTAACTTATTATTTTTGCAGTCTTGAAGTTCTCTCCAGAGGATGGCTGGAGCTTTCCTCCCAGCAAAGTCTGATGGAGTCCACTGGCCAGAGAGGTGATTTCAGCCTAAGTACGGCCAACGCAAAAAAGAGACTAATCAGGATGTACTGAAGATGCCAAAGCTCATACCTAGGCAGTTCTAATGGAACCTTTATGAAAAGTCAGTTAGCGTCCTTGTATATATATAAACTTGTGTAATTCAAGTTCAGAGTCATCAGTCATTAAAATTCCAAGAGTGATACCACACTGCATCTATGTTACATGCCATCTGCTGTTGCTTGCTTGAGTATGATATTCCATACTTCCAAACTACTGGCCAGCCAGGCAAAGAGATGGACTTCTAGTTTCAAATGCCCTGACGTGTATGAAGAAGAGCTTTTAGCAGTAAGCGTGTTAATGACAGCCAAACTATGAAAATGACATTGAACCAATGGTGTACTTAGATTCATTTTTCCCCCTTAGCCAGATCATTCCTTCACACTGCATTGTTCCCAAGTGTCTGACTTATTATTCCAGGCTATTAAGATCTAGTCTTTGGTAGCTAAGTTCAGAGAGAAAGTTTAAAACCTAGT